AGAATATTCGTTCCGCAAACAAAATTTGATGCAAGTTCTTTGCTCAACAAAATCACCCATTGTAAAAATCGAAAAATTCACTTTTGGTCGTTTACTAAAACACGTGTAACTCGGAGATAATTAAACCTTTTAACAAACAGACGCTTGGCAATTGTTATAGACAGTCCTACCAACCTAGGAAAAAAACAATTGCCTGCCTTCCTAATGTCCGGGAGTTTTAAATGACAATTTCACCTTACTTTTTGATCACAGTAGTACATCGTGCCCTGACTGTTTGGGGGTCCCAGCGTCACGTATACAATGTGAAACGCGACAAAGAAAACGTCTCTGATTGGTGGACAAGACGAACCCAAAAAGGGTATAAAAGAAGCGTTTTTTCTTGCCGGACTTTCAGTAGAGTTTGGTCGCTCGATCGTTTTCGCCGATATACCTTCTCTCAATAAAGGAATAAAATAAAGTCCTTTTTAAGAAAAGAATTAGAATCATATTCATTTTCATTCCATAATCCCAACAGTTGACTTTTACAAGTATAGAGGTATGTAATCAGAGAAATATCTGTCCGAACTATGTCACGTTTGGTCTCATTTTAATCGGAAAACTGCCAGCAATATGTTAAAAAATTTTAGTTTCAAAATATTAAAATTATAAAATTTATGTTATTGTATTATGAATTGTCATTCCGAGGATTCTAGTCAAAGGAGCCGCGTCGCGCGCCGCATCATACTCTTGGCCGACTCCGTCGAACCTTAGCATAGACGTAGGAATAACGCATATAGGCGTAGGAATAGCACAGAGGCAATGCAAGCAAGCCTCTGACAGGGACTATGTATTAGGGAGAATTTACAGTATCACCTTTTCTCACAAACAGTTGGCCACAATTCGTAACTTCATACGATTTTTATGATAATCGATATCCTTATGTTTTCGAAGTTGCGGAATTTGAATATGTCATCAAAAATGCGAACTTTAAAATGGAACGTCAGGCACCACTGACATAAACATTGTTTTTAACTTCTTTGATTTCTTATCACAATAATGCCCCGATCGATCTCGGTACTCGAATGAAGCACCGCTTCACTTTTCCCTACTTCGTAACTCAAATTACCACTTCGGAAAAGACGTCTTGAGGTTAATTGAAGCTGTATAGTCAAGCTACAACCACTGAAAGATGTAAAAATTACCTCTGCTGTTGATGAAAATTCATGAAAAACTAATTGCTCACAACTGCTGTCAAGGTCAACCGATTTCGATGAAATGTTCAGTATGCACGTAACTTGCCAAGATCTACAGAATGCATTCTTTAAATTTTCGAATAAACAAGTTGGAAAAGTCATTACATGTAATAGCAAAATTTAAAGAAGATATTAAATATATATATTATATATTATATATTATATATTGTATATTGTATATTATATATTATATATTCTAGATTGTATATTGTATATTGTATATTATATATTGTATATAATATATTATATATTATATATTATATATTATATATTATATATTATATATTATATATTATATATTATATATTATATAATATATATCATATATTATATATTATATATTAAATATGTCCCTATATCATCTAAAAAAATTCAGGTCCTTTAGTCCAGTTTTAAAAAAATTATGCCGTTTTTCAAGTTACCCCATTTACATACAAGGTGTCTCGTAATTATGTTAACAGCCGGAAAGGGGTGATTCCTGAGATCATTTAAAGTAACTTTTTCTTTAGCGCAAATGCAATCCACGGTATCGTTTACGAGTTATTAGCAAAAAACAATGACCAATGAGAGGCGAGCTCAACTGGCGCAAGACGGCCAAGCCAATGAGCGGTCGAAACCCAGTTCTTTGCGCCAGCCAAGCTCGCCTCTCATCGCACACTATTTTTCGCTAATAACTCGTAAACAAAGCCGCGAATTGCATTCTCCCTAAGAAAAAAGTTACTTCGAATGACCTCAAGAATCACCATTTTTTTAATATTAACATCCTTTCCGGATGTTAACATAATTATGGGACTACAGTATGTACTACAGCAGCTCTTTGTTGCACTCCGAAAATCGTATTTCGGCCAACTTTTTTTGAAAAGCTATTCACCGTACGCGCGGCTCGTCGAAATCGCGCCCGGCCCGAATTAAATCGGTTGTTACCCGATACGCGTCGGGTTACCGGAACCGAGCGAACCGAGTTCGTAAGTGACGGGGAAAGAGGGATCGATATTACACCCGTGTATACCCTGAGAAAGAGAGAGATCATTCTCGAACGTCTGATCGATGCGGAATTTCCTTGGATTGTTGCAGGAGGAACGACGGACACGGCAGACCGGAGCGTAAAAAACGGGGCGGACCTTCGATAGCGATCGAAGCTGCGTCGAAAGTACCTACCGCGGGGGTCTAAGGAAAAATCGAGTTAACGTCGAGGAATCGAGTCCAATCAACCGAGGTGGAGAAGCGAGGCAGAATCTTGGCCGTAAAAAAAAAGAAGGGAAAATAGAGGTGGACGATATTAGATTTGTAGACGAGATTGGTTATCTAATTCGACTATCCCGGCCGGCAGCGGATCGAGCGGGCTGTCGATTCCGACGGTAGCAGGTTTCGACGGGATTCAGGTGCGCGGCCGCTAATGCCTTCTTGAATCGATCGGTTCGCGATCGCGGTCCTGTTCGCGTTCGCGTGTCTGCGCTTCGAATCGTAGCCGAGGGAACAGAGTAACGAAAGAACCAGCGGGCCGACGAGCGAACTGTAGCCAGCGACGATGGCCGATCTCGAGAGGATCAGGTTGGTGGTGCTGGGTGGTGCCGGGGTCGGCAAAAGCTCGATCATACGTCGCCTGCTCGGCCAAGGATTCTGCGAAAGGTACAGACCCACTGTCGAGGACCTCTACTCGAGGGAATGCGCGCTGGGCACGCTCACGTTGAAGGTGGATCTCTTGGACACGGCGGGTAAGCTGAGGGCTCGGGAAAACTGAACTGAAAAATATCGACTGTCCGTTGACTGACTCGGGTCTCTTATTTATATTACGTCCCCCAAAAAGGCCACGCCTGTTTTGGGGGACTCGCTGTCTTCTTTTACCCCCGTTTAGTTTGGCGGGGGAGACAGCCATCGATGAACCCTCGCTGTAGGGGTGCGCTGGCCGTTCGGCCAGGCAGCGGTACGCGGCCGGCGGCTTTCTCCGCGACCAGGCATGCGGTACATCTGGCAGTGATAAAAAATAAAGAAACAAAGGAATTTCCGGTTCTTGCAAACGTCAAGGACGTTTTCTCTCCGTCGACCCCTTGACATCTGCAAGCGGACAGTTTTATGGTTATTACGGTCGCCGGCCGTGTGCCGCTACAAAGCTAAGCAGACCGAGGTCGCTGGCCCCGTTTTAACCGAATCAATCATTGTCCCCCGCATTTTCAGGCGACCTCCAGTTTCCGGCCATGAGGAGGCTCAGCATAGCCACCGCACACGCGTTCCTGCTGGTCTACGCCACAACCTCGAAGCCCAGTTTCGAATGCGTTAAACAGTGTTTCGAAGAAGTCAGGGAACAACGATCCGATTATCAGGTATCACAACACTCTTCGATTACAGGTTCAGGCAGGGTCTCGTACCGATATCTTTCGGTCGCGCCTTCGTAATCTTCGTAGAAACTAATTGAATACCGATATGACGTCACATCGCTGTATTTACCTATATTAATCGGTCATTTTTACGGTCTTCTTATTTAATCACAATTCTCCCGAGGTCGTTTGAAGCAACTTTTTCCTTAGCGCAAATGCAATCCGCGGCTTTGTTTGCGAGTTAGCAACGAAAAACGGTGGCCAATGAGAGGCGAGATCAGCTGGCGCGAGGCAGCCGAGCCAATGAGCGGAACTGGCCTCTCATTGGTCACCGTTTTTCATTGACAACTCGTAAACAGAGCCGCGGATTGCATTTGCGCTAAGGAAAAAGTTACTTCAAATGACCTCGGGAGAATTGAGATTAAATAAGATGACCGTAAAAATGACCGGTTAATATAGGTAAATATAGCGATATGACGTCATATCGGTATTCAGGAATCCTTCATTTCTCGATTTTGAGTAGCTTCTGGGACACCCTGTAGAAACACGTATAATAACATTGATAATCAAATAACGAAATATAGAAACAAATGATCGAAGTGTTCGTATCTATGAAGACAGTTTGGAGACTTCACATTTAACCGGATTTCTGGATAGCACAGCTCCAGAAATATAGCGGGTGCGGGTTGTATATTCTATTGCACATTATTATTTAGAAATAAAATATATATTATAATAAAATATATTCAATATTGGAAATATTGAATAAGATGAATTTGAGATCAACTTCATTTCTCAAGCACCATATTATCCAAATTATTTGGGACTTTAATTATTTCCATTATCGTGTAGTTTTCTGTTTTTGAAAAGGCACATACAAAGTTGGAAATATTGAATAAGATGAATTTAAGATCAACTTCATTTCTCAAGCACCATATTATCTAAATTGTTTGGGGCTTTAATTATTTCCATTATTGTGTAGTTTTCTGTTTTTGAAAAGGCACACATACAAAGTTGGAAATATTGAATAAGATGAATTTGAGATCAACTTCATTTCTCAAGCACCATATTATCCAAATTATTTGGGGCTTTAATTATTTCCATTATCGTGTAGTTTTCTGTTTGAAAAGGCACATACAAAGTTAAATCGCGTAACAAGGACGTCGTGAATAATTAGCGCGGCTTTGTGAAAATATATAAATTTATATCTCATCTGCTCCAAATAATTGACTTACCGAAAGAATCATTTTTGGTTTATAATCAAGATAGTCATTTGATCGCATTCATTGTTTTTGGACGTCCCCTATCAAGGGACATAACAAGACTGTTAATAGTTCTGGTACTTTCTGAGTTAAACATTTTTGTTTCACAAAATCTGTACCAGTGCGATGCAAACTCTACACAAATACAAGCCATCACGCCAAACTCTATACAAATAGAGTAATTACTGCGAATAATGTACGTAGCATTTTATATTTCATTTGAAACATTGCTTACTGCTTTACGAATAAATAACGCAAATGGTTAATATTGTTACAATATTATTCGTTAAATAATATCCGATACTTGTTATAATATTTGATACATTTCTTTATATTAATTAACGAAATATCTGTTTTTGTTGTTATAAAAATTTTCTATTTTCAAATTTTGTTAATTCCGGTCGAGCCAGAACTTCCAATCTCAAGAATTCCTTTATATCTGTTCTCATTGCAACTTATAATACGGGAACTTTTTAAAAGAAGTACCACCACATGTAATAAATTCCAATGTAGCTTATAAAGAAGTTCCGAAACTTTCTCGAACCCTGCTTTTAGGGGAAGTTCGGGCAGTACCAACAGTTCCAAGATTTGTTTAGATTAGAGTCGATGCGAGTCGTGATAAAACGAATTTGCAGTGTAAATGAACCTTAATGGAGGGAAAGTTACGAGCATTCAATAATAAGTATTCGATAATAAAAATTGTTAATTCGCAAGAGTGAAGCAGTTCTGTGATTTTTCTTTTTATATCATCCTTTATTTATTCACCCTTTTATAGATCCAATTCACGTGACTTCAAATCGAATGCATTCTTTTGCAAATCAAATTCATTATGTGGGTCTCTTGAGAGCGGGATATAAATATTGTTTAATTTTAAACAACGTTAGCTTCCACAAGATCCAGAAACTGCGTGAACTTGTTAATCAGGCAAGGCTTGTCCTACCATTTAAAGTGTCTTCAATGATAATCCAACCGAAGATTTCTTAAAAATTACGTTCTAGGGAAAAATTAAATTTTCGTGGATATTATTAATTATTCGGATGCAACAACTAACCGCACAGATGAAAATACATATGTTCATTATTAAATAAGTATTTCAAGTTCATTGCTACATATATATACATATATTCTGAATAGTGGGGTCCAGGAATCCGAGGGCTAAAATAGCGAGGTCAGAGTTTACGAATGGGATGGGTAGGATAAGGTTTAACCCGAGAAAGATAACCTACGTCGCAAAGGCGCCTGCGAAGACTGTTGATTTTTGTTAATTTTTCATAGAGGTCTAGTGATTTAAGTTTAAAATTACTTAAAATATAAAAAAATATAATATAAATGCATTTTATTTTTACAATAATGCCAAACCTTTAAAATGACTAGATTAACTTAAATAAATATCCATTGTTAGTATAAAATTGACGCCTTAGAAAAGCATGCGCCTCTGAAGCGTATGGTTATCTTTTACGTACGTTGTCATATGGTTATCTTTCTAGGGTTAAGCGTGGTGCGCGACAAGGACACAGGTCGAGAATGAGACCGAGTTTCTGAATGTCTAACAAGGGACATTCGTGAACCCGAAAAACCCGTAAAAAGTTATGCACGCAATTAGAGTAAGTTATGCCTTTGTTGGCGATGATGCGCGCTTTAAAGGGGCGGGAACAGCTCGTGAAAAGATTTCAATATCTTCTTTTTCGTGAAACATCTAAAGAATAGCAAACGTTGAAACGTTGAAAAGAAAGTTAACTCCATCGTTAATTAATGTTACACTTAATTGAGAGAAAGAATTTGTACACAGCTTCGTGGATACAATGAAACGATACAATTTTTCTTCCAACTTTTCGCTAACATTATTTGCTTTTCTTGGGATATTTCGCGGAAAAGAAAACTCTGAAATTTTATCAAGGGTGATATTCACCCCTTTAACACGTTCCGTGCCACGTGTACCATCGATGGTACACGCTTGCACGTTTACTTAGTGAACTGAACAAATTGTTTACAAGAAATTTAGAACCGAAGAATCAATTTCCACCGCAAGAATGGGCGTTGATAAGTTTTTGTTACGTTGTTATGTGTACGAGAATTAATAATTGCACGTAATACATCAAGTTTTAGTAAAATATCAAAGTGTGAAGATTCGAGTAAAAAAAGCTCGACACGGAACGTGTTAAGGAAGCTACTCTTCGCTTATGTGTATACTAATCTACGGTGCAAATAATTTCGAATGATTAGTTATACTGGTCGAAAGTCATTGTTTTTATGTTCTTGAACAATTTTTGCCACANTTCGTGAACCCGAAAAACCCGTAAAAAGTTATGCACGCAATTAGAGTAAGTTATGCCTTTGTTGGCGATGATGCGCGCTTTAAAGGGGCGGGAACAGCTCGTGAAAAGATTTCAATATCTTCTTTTTCGTGAAACATCTAAAGAATAGCAAACGTTGAAACGTTGAAAAGAAAGTTAACTCCATCGTTAATTAATGTTACACTTAATTGAGAGAAAGAATTTGTACACAGCTTCGTGGATACAATGAAACGATACAATTTTTCTTCCAACTTTTCGCTAACATTATTTGCTTTTCTTGGGATATTTCGCGGAAAAGAAAACTCTGAAATTTTATCAAGGGTGATATTCACCCCTTTAACACGTTCCGTGCCACGTGTACCATCGATGGTACACGCTTGCACGTTTACTTAGTGAACTGAACAAATTGTTTACAAGAAATTTAGAACCGAAGAATCAATTTCCACCGCAAGAATGGGCGTTGATAAGTTTTTGTTACGTTGTTATGTGTACGAGAATTAATAATTGCACGTAATACATCAAGTTTTAGTAAAATATCAAAGTGTGAAGATTCGAGTAAAAAAAGCTCGACACGGAACGTGTTAAGGAAGCTACTCTTCGCTTATGTGTATACTAATCTACGGTGCAAATAATTTCGAATGATTAGTTATACTGGTCGAAAGTCATTGTTTTTATGTTCTTGAACAATTTTTGCCACACAGAATTCTCGGAAATTGTCTAAACTATCTGAGAACGCGATCGCTGTGCGCAACGTTTCATCACTTTTTTACTTCACGAGTTCACAAACGTCCCTTGTCAGGCAACGGTGGAATCATTGGATTTGGAAGATTTCGAGAGGCTTGAATTAGAGGTAGAAACCAGAGAACCAGGTGTCTGCGTCTCATTTGATATGTGGAATAAGGTTGGCGTACAACAACACGCGTCCCTAACGAGATGATCTAATTTGCAGCGACAGCGCCGGGACGAACTGGGAATACCGGGTCGAAAGTAAACAGTTCGCGACATTGGGCCACAATCGCGCGAAAACTATTGCGTTCGGAATAAAAATTGCTCCACTGAAATCTTACGCAGCTGTCCGACATTATTGTGTCACGGCGAATCCGCTTCATGACATGTAACACAGAGGTTATTAATAAAACATGGAGGCCGGAGAAAATGTCCCGTAACCTGGGGGCGGTTGTAACGCGGCATACAGTTGACGGTAACACAATATTATTTTCCAAAGAGAAGCACGTGGTAAGCGGAATTGCAACCGAAAACGTGAACAAGTTCAATAAAATTGTATATCTATATGCAAAAGTAATCAAATTCAAATCAAATTCTTGAAAAAGTTCCACTACTTTATTACTGTTGTCACAAATATAGATCACGTTGTATAGTGCTATTTTGATGTAGCAAATCGTTAGACTACATGCACCGCACCCATTTCTCATACAGCTTGCTGGAATTA